AGGAAATATACATTAATCTTATTCCAGTTATGTTATATTGAGCACATTTATGAAAGGAAAACGCATCTTGTTTTTGTTGTATGCCAAACTTTCCTTTTTATTATCGCTCCTACCCCATCGACCTCACCTTTGCCGTGAGAAGTTGCAAAATAATTCCATTCTAGAACCTTGCAACCAAATTCAGAAACGAAATCAGGCAAAATCCGTGCAATAAACTTGTTTTTAAATTGGGAGCTGCTCCCATCTGAAAATATATAAATATTTTTAAACTGGCCATATTCTTTTTGAATTGTTTTAACAAGTGATGTCAAAAAGCAGGAAACATCGTACTTATTATGTCTGAGCTTGTTATGGTCTTGAGCTTATTATGGTGAGCTTGTATCTGATGATGTCATAGGATTTTACTCCGCCAATCAACGCAAGTAAAAATAACTAACTTGGCAGAAAAATATTTGAGGGGCACTAAATCATTTTTTACATTTTTTATACAATTTCTACAATTACTTGTCATACATTTTTCGTGTTTAATATTGCAACAGGCAGATTTCAGAAAAGTTTTAATATTGGATGAAAATTAATTATGAATTCTGCACTGCTTTGCAAAATAAATGCGAACTTGGTATGGTATTTGCACACGCACATGTTATGTGGTATTTTACAAGAAAGTTGGTCGCAATTCATAAAAAATTGACTTACTAACGTAGTCAGTAATTCTCTCCCTTTTATATACTTCATACGGCTCAGAAACCGTCAGCAACATAAAAAGCTTGGGAACTATTTTTCCATCGACGATTAATGTATCCTTTCAACCTGCAGCTTGGATATTAATATTGCACAACGAAGTGAAAATCTTTAATTAAATGTTTTTTTCCCCTTGTATTGACGATTCAGTCCGTTGCAAAGGTAATCTATACTTTTTATAAAGGATGTCCACGATCTGTGCTCGTTTCTCTGGGTTTACCGGCAAATCAGTTTTTACTTTATTTAACGCCTTTCCTAAGGTTTGCTTGCATTTGGTGGGGTGACTGACTGGCGGAAAGATCTCTATTTCACCTTCATTCTTCTTTTTCAAACGGAATTGTTGCTGCTTTCGGCAGTTATGCTCTTTTGCTTTTTTATGTCTCTTGTCGTTTAATCCGAATAATTTTTTCTTGTATCTCGATGCTCTCTCTTTGGCATTTTTACGACTTATCACTAACTTAAGCGAATGTGATTTTATTTTTTCCCTAAACCGTTTTGCGTAAATTTTACTTTTAGTTGAAACTGCCATCTGCATTCACGGTAATTGAAAGTAAATTTAAAATAAAAAAAACCAATGCAATGAAATTACTTACAATCCGACGTGACATTACATACTCAAAATAAAAATAACTGTTTGCTAAATTGCTGATATTTTTATTACAATTAATAAACTTTATTAAACTTTGTTTAATTTCAAATTTTCACGCATTTGTGATCATCAGCGTAGAGATAATGAGAATAAATGTAATTTTTCTGACGTGATGTTACGTAGGAAGGGTAAAAGCAAATCAAAAATTTACTGTTAATTGATTTTGGTTTGCTCATCTGCATTTATTTGAAGGTTTGTTGTTGTTGTAGCTAGCATTTTGCAATAAGAGCGCAGTTGCACAATAACTCTTAGATTCGTAAATGGTAAAGATAAAATGCTCTTAAAACCTTAACTTGAACTTTGTAAGTCTATATTGCAACTAGGTAGAGCTTTGAACTCTTCAATTTAATAAAATTTGATATAAAAAGTAAAGAAAAACTCGGAAGAAAAAGCGGTCATGGTGGACTTTTCTGTGGAAATGCCCATATCTCTAAGCCTGTTTTTGCATCATCATCTGTTGTCTCAAGTCATCTTGGCCCTTTAATATTTACTTTACTTATCAATGACCTACCTTGACTCTACCTGCAGGATGATCTCAATTACATGAAATCTTGGTGCCATGTTCATGATCTTTCATCGAACTCTACCTTATTTAGTCACGTACATGATCGGCAATGTGCCATTGCAGCGTATATCGTCAATTCACATATCCAGTATTGTAAATAAGGCCAAGGGTGTACTTGGATTTACAAAACGTTGGTTCAAGAAATTTGATGGCCCTTACACTTCTAACCTTATGTACCCTTTTCTAGTACGCTCTGTGCTCAAATACTGATTTTGTGTTTGGTATTCATAATAAAGAAAGCAGGAACATAGGGTCTGTTCAGAAGCAATTCCGACTTTTACTTTACCTGGTTTAATCTGAAATCCCAACCTTCGATTGCCATTGTATTCGATCAGACTGTCGCTTATAAACCTTCTTCATAAAAATTTTTTAGGATTTTTCTTGGTAATTGTTGGATCTCCACACATTAATATAAGTGGTTTAAGTCTGTTTACGTTGTTAGTATAAGAACTTAAGATAAATAAACTCGCATATTGTACGTCACACGATATAAGTTCGACGTGGACGTGGTTGGCGCTGGCAGCTGCATCCCTGGCGAAGCACCCTATTAAAATACGTAGCATGTTTTGGCGCTTCGAAGCTTGACAGAGACGGGCCCACTTCGGGAGAATTAACAGCAGCGCCAATAATAATCTCGCCGTTTAACTCAGTCTAATAAAATGCATTGAAATAACACTTTATTAGACTTCAATGGCGATCAAAACAGGCAAATGGTTCAAATACTTAAGGATTTTAATTACACATACAATGCTTAAATGATCCGTATCAGCGGAGAACACAACCGTGTCGGTCCAGAGCACACCAGGAAGACAAGCAACTCCTTAAAGTTAGTGGAGGTTGAGGTCTTAAAGTTGGCTGCTGCAGCGTGGATCTTGTAAAAACAACTGTTTATAGGTGGCGCATGTGGGCGTATTGATAATCACGAATCGATACGTGGGCTTTAAGAGCTAGAGACATCAAATGTTGTACACATATGTATGTATGCCTTATGTGTGTACGCTATACGAGTTTCTTTTATTTTTATAGCCTGTACCCAAAGGGTGAAAGGCTATACTAGTTTTGTGCGCATGTATGTAACACACAGAAGGAGGCGTGGCAGACCCCACAAAGTATATATATTCTTGATCAGGATGAGAAGACGAGTCGATATAGCCATGTCCGTCTGACCGTCTGTCCGTCTGTCTGTATGAGCGCAAGGATCTCAGTAAGTACAAGAGCTAGGATAACCAAAATTGGTATCAAAGTTCCTATAAGCCCTAGGCAGAACGAGTTTGTTTATTTTTTCTGATACACCCCCCCACTCCCCCGCAATTTGTATTTTTTCTTATAACTTCCGTAATTCTCGGAATTTAAAAATCAATTTTAGTAGGTACATCCAGTTAGTACTAATGTGTCCGTGTGCCAAATTTCATCATGATAGGTCAATTCTGAAGAAAGTTATAGCCATAAGTAAAATCGCTGCTCATGCGCTGCCTGCAGCTCTGTCGGCAGCGCTGCCCGCAGCTGTTGTTGTTGTTGCTGCTTTGGTTCAACTTTGTGCTGCATACATACACGCATATAAACACGCATAGGTACGTGATGTAAATGTATGCTGTTTAAACTGAACATAAACATGTATTCTAATTTAATTAAATTAATTATTTTAATTAATTAATTCATTCATTTTTTTTAATAATTTAATTTTTTTTAATTTTTTTTTTTTTAATTTTTCCTTTTTGTGGAGAGTACAGGCTATTTTACTGTCGGGCTTGCTCGACTGTAGCGTTCTATCTTGTTTATTATACGCCCCTCACTTATTATAGTGGATTTTCCAAAACTTCGATCATATAATCATCTATATCTTGGAGAATATAAAATCTAGAGATACAAAATTTTAGTCCAAGATGCTTTATATTTAACGCAGAACATGTGAATTTCAGGATTTTCCACTTTCCCCCTCTCAACCACAATTAATGATTTTTCATAATTCCGTAATTTTTGGAATTTTTAAATCAAATTTGACAAATACTTCAGTTAGTGATTATGCGTCTGTCCTTTAAAATTTAGCTATGAATTTTTACATACGAAAACAAAGGCAAAAGCCAGGTGTATTTTTGAAATTTGAGTAAAAGTATTTAGGATTTACGAGGGTTACGGAAAATCACTAGTAGCAAAGGAAGGGGGAAAAAAATCGTTGTAATTTATCGGTGGGATCTTTAAAATAAATTAAATACAACTAGATTTATTTTAATGCCTTGTAAAAACCATTATCCGTATGCAGAAAAGTAACCACTCTTTGTATTTGTGTCGCTATTGTGATAATTTACTGTGGTGTACAAATAGGTGTAAATACGACCCGGAAATCGGACGGATGTTTCAATAGGGACAAATCTTTGTATTTTTAAGTTGGTAGAACGGGTATTATTGATGTGTCAATTTGCACCAATATGCACAATTTCTTCATTGCTTACATATAAGATCGAGAAAGCGTTGAAGACAAGCCACACCCAAGACAATGAAGAACATATACTGATATATAACACGTTAAGCAAATTAAAGAATTGATACTTTAAAGGCGTCAATTGGCAACTATAGATATTGCTGATGCTAATGGCATTACTAATCGAACAGCCAACACCATCTTTAAAGATGTTTAATAGCCGTGGTGACGTAGCCACCGACATAATATTTACGGTTCTGCAGATAAAATTGTACTTTTCAGCCTCAAGTCTACAAGGGCGTTTCGAAATATGAAGTCGACCACACATTCATTATTATGGAGCACTATTTCGCCTTAAAATGGAAGTAAGTTAGATTTGTTGAAATTTTTTGTTGATCATATTCATAAATTATTATTTATTATTGGCCGCCCTTGTATAAACCTATGTATCTATTTATAGTAAACAGTATGGTAATAACTGTATATTTTCATATCTCCATAACATAACAACCGTTTTCAATGTACATTTTTAGAAACCTTCGTTCCAATCAAAACCATAATTTTTCATTGAGACATACATATACATACATACATATGTATGTACATACACAAGCGGTTGTTCTTACCATTCCTTTGCCAATTGTTTAAAGGCTTTTCTTATATCCTGCGTGGTGGCGTAGTTGCTTAGACCAAGTGTGGCGTAAGGATCTTTTGACGCTGAGCTGCACAAATCAAAACCACCATTTATCAAAAGAAAGCAAAAAAGCAAATTCTGAAACATTTTTGCTTTTTGACTAATAATGGTAAATCACTGTATATGCATCAGCTCATATATACTGTATTGGCTTAGGACTGCAATTTTATGCAACAAACTTCTTTCGTTTAATAAACAACACAATATTTAAACACATTACGGCATTTTATTATAATTTTTCCGCCTTTAAAAACAACCAAACGAGGTCCTGGCAAATTAATCCCTTATTTCTATTAGATGACTTGGTTCGGTCCGGGTCGAACTAGTTCTATTATTCTACTAAAAGGAACTGTTGAACTAAGTCTTTGGGCATAGCCCCCTTGGTTCATTTAGTTCCTTTTATGAGTTGGCATACATATACATATGTCAATAGAAAGAAAAAAATATATAATATCACATAGCTGGATGGCGCCCCAAAATATGAAATGCGGCTGTGCGATATTATTCTGCGAAATATTTTTTCTTGATTTTAATATATCTTCTGTTACGAGAAACTGTAAACTTCATTTAAAACTCAAAACTAAAATAGTAATGTAGTTTTTCAATTCGGCTTTTTAATTACTATTATTGTCCTACCATAATTTTAACAATTTAAGAACGTTTATTTAGAACTATATCTGCAAAGTGAACTAGTAGTAGTATCCCCATTAACTAGAGTTGAAACATCCAAACATCGATATAATTAAATATCGATATATATAATTCCCTGTATGCATCGTAATTGACAACAGTATGGCATAGCGATATATCTCCGGCGAACTAAAAGCGACATATTTCCGCGCGGACATACATATGTCGTTTCAAAACGACATAGCTCCGATTGGAGATTTGATGCCCGAAAACGACATACATATCTCTGCGCGGAGTTACGTCGCTTAAAAACGACGTATCGTCGAACTAAAAACGACATACAGTGGCTCACAGCTTATTTTATGCAGTACATATCGCCTTTGGAGGTTTGTAAAGACAGAACTATTATGATTTAAACGAAAATTGTGGTACGATTTGAAGGTCTAAAACTTTTAGTGTAATATAGGACTTAATTCATTAGCAATAAATGACCATTTAATACCATATATATTAAAAAACAAAAAAAAATATTGCATATTTGTGTGAAATGGTACTTCAATCTTGCTTTAATTAATAGTACTTTTTACTTTTATGCCTTTGATCTGCACCTGCAATGTGTTTTACAAGCATTTTATTCTGATTTGGTTACTTGGAAACGCACTTTTATTTGTTTGTAAAATAGGTCTAGAACAGCAGTTGAATCAAAACAAAAATTTCTGAAATTGTGAACATTGAAGAGTCTGCGATAAAAAAAAATATATGCGAACGTTCTTTTTATAAGAATTGTATAGAAAATAAGGGCAGAGACCCACAACTCGATTATCATTGAAAGTGACCAGTTTTTTCTAAAAACTAACGCGAAACAGCAACCATTTTTTCAAATTCTATTTACTTATCGAATCTTATCTCTCGGAGACTTATGATAAGTAGTCAAATCTTAACCTAATTTAGTTATTTAATTTTTTTTTATAATTCCTTTTTACTCCACTTGGGAGCTTAGGGCTTCTACAAGCGCTTTCCATCGAACTCTATTTCTGGCCGCCTGTCTAGCTATGTCCCATATGATGTTGTTATGGGATAATTCCTGAAGGGTGGTCCGTCGCTAGGTTATCTTAGGTCTGCCGACCCGTCTGCTTCCTTGGGGGTTCAGTAGTGTGGATTTCACGCAGGCATTTAAAATTCGGAGTTTGGTTTTTCTGCTTAACTGTCCGCTTCTCCATATGCGATACAGTCTTCCGAATGTTGATTGGGCTTTGGTAAGACGGCTCGATACATCTTCGTTCACGCCACCATTGTTGGAGATAATGGTGCCGAGGTATGGGAAGTTATCGACAAACTCGATGGGGTTCCCACGTATGTTGACATTTCCTTTGCTGGCGTGATTGAAGCGCATCGCTTTTGTTTTTGCCGTGTTTATTTCCAGCCCGACTCGACTGGCTAACTCCACGAGGTCATCAGCTTTGGATTGGATATCACAGAGCCTGTGAGAGATCAGACAGATGTCGTCCGCATAGTCCAAGTCTTCAAGATGTCTGTTGAAGTTCCACGTGATGCCACGCTTGGACTTGCATATTTCCCTCATGAATTCGACTACCACGATCTTGAAGAGCAGAGGCGATAGACGGCAGCCTTGCTTCACTACTGTGTTTGTATGGAAAGGTGTACTTGTTTTTCCATTGTGCAGGACAGCCAGGTTGGCATCATCATACATCGCCTTAATTATGGCGATAATTTTGGTCGGTACTCCTCTCCTTGCTAGTGCGCCCCATATTGCCGCTCTTTCCACTGAGTCGAAGACCTTCTTGAAATCTATGAACAGGAGGTACAGCGGGGCCCGCCACTCCACAGCTTGTTCGGTAATTATGCGTAGTGTGTTTGCCTGGTCTACGCAACTCCTGTGTGGTCTGAATCCTGCCTGTTCATCACGTATTGATGGCTAAATTTTTTCCTGAAGACGCTCGTTCAGTAGTGTGGCTAGAACATTATAGCTCGTATTCAGCAGTATGATTCCTCTCCAATTGTTGCAGTCGCTAAGGTCTCCTTTCTTGGCTAGTTTTACAATGATTCCGCTTTTCCAGGTAGTTGGAATCTGTTCGCTCTCCCTTATGCCAGTGGATGCAATATTTCCGCCATGAGCTGGGTGTCAACTTGGAGGAGTTCGGCTGGTATGCTGTCTTCTCCAGCTGCCCTGTTGTGCTTCAGCTTAATTAATGCGTTGCCGATTTCTCTGGTTGATGGTGGTGTGGACGAGATTCTCAGTATCCCATTTGTTGGTGCAATAACTCTGAAGTCATCACTACTGCTTGGTGTGGCAGTGTTGCTGATCTCCATGAAGTGTTGTCGCCATCCCTCTATTTGGGCTTCATCATTGGTCAGCAGGTTTCCATCTGTGTCTCTTACTGGTTGGGTCTGCCTTTGGTAGCTTCCAGAGATTCGTGCTACTAACTGGTAGTGAGCGCATGTTGTTTTCGCCGGCTGCTTGTTCTGCATCGTTTGCAAATCTATCCATTAGTGCTCTCTTATCGTTTCTGGCGGACTTCTTTACAGCTTTACACAGCTCGCGATCTTCATCACCATTGTGGCTGTTTTGGTCTGCCATAGCCTTCAGATTGTTACTCCTGCTAATTAGGTCCCATGTTCTGTCGGATATCCAATTGGTTCTTCTGCGTTGTTGCGTGCCAATAATCTCTTCTGCGGTCATCCTTAGCGTCCTGCATGCTTGTTCCCAGGGGTGATTTTGTTGCGTTGATAGGTGTGCTCGTAACGTAGATGCCATTCTTGCAGTGATGTACAGGGTGCGCCATCTTTTATGTCGGTGTGTAGATATTGAATGGCTTTGTCATTAGTGAACCGATTGACTTGAGTAGACCAGTGTTGAAAACCTCAGTTCAAGAAATTGTACAGAACCAAATTAAATAAAAATATCTCATACTTGAAAATCGGTTGTTTATTTTCAAAGATATTCAGTGTTTACATACCGACATAAAAGATGGCGTACCCTGTAGTTGTCGCCGAATAGGTGACGGTTGAGGGGGAGCGGTCGGTTTGTGGTGTTGGCGATCCGTGATAGTTTCCGGTTCAACTTAATTGACAGTTCGCCTATGACCAGCTCGTGATCGCTGTCTATCGATGCTCCTCGCTTGTTCCGTACATCTAGTAGCGATTGTCTCCATTTCCTGCTTATACATATGTGGTCAATCTGGTTGCGTGTATTCCCGTTTGGAGATGTCCAGGTGTATTTGTGAACATCTTTGTGAGGGAATAAACTGCCGCCAATGACCAATTGGAATGTCTGACAGAGTTCTGTCAGTCTTTCACCATTGTTGTTGCGAGTCCCGTTTTGAAATGCCTATGGTCGTCAACGAAGTGGAGCCGTTTTGATTTATTTCTCTTGTATCATGATTGATCATATACGACTTATCCCAGTGCTGGGGCTGCCAGCTGTCACCGCCAGAGAGAGGCGTCTTTGGGGGTTGCTATTGGTGCTGTCCAGATAGCGTGGATGCATGTGTTTGGTGGTTATTAAAATTACCACAAAGTTGAAGGCATGTATTTCGGGGAGTTTGTCGAGAGGAGAAAGTTAGTTCGGGAATCATGCTCTCGCCATGGGTGGGGCTTGAACCCACGACCTCTTGTTTGGTGTGCGCGTGCGCTATCCACTACGCCACCGAGGCCACCAGTTATTTAATTCATTACAATGAAATATTTGAATTACGGCCCTAACCGTTATTGCTGGGTAGGCAGGTCTCTTCTCCGGAGTCTTGTATGGCTAGCCTGCCAAGTTAAATTCTGCGTAAGTCTATTTGGATGGCTCCGAAGTTTAAGCTGGTACTTTGTTTTCACCTTGGCGACTTCATCTTTAACAGGTCCCAAATTTAAATCTTTCAGGATATTTTCACTCCGTATGTACCTGAGTGCCCCAGCGATGGTTCTCACGATCTTCGATTGAGCTCTCTCGATTAACTCTAAATTGCTAATGGTAGCGTTTCCCCATAGTTCAGAGCCATATGTTGGTTTGAGAACTGCATTGTACAAGAGTACTTTGTACTCCAGTTTTAGTGGGGAACGGACGTTTATAAGCCAATGTAGATTAATAGCTTTTAGTTTCAGTTGATCTCTCTTCGCTTCGATGCTGTTTGCTGTTTGGGGAGAGTTGCTCCATATAGTCCAGGGCTTTGCGTAGTAGATGGTTGGTTATTTTTAACCGCTCCTTTGAGTCAGGTGATCTGTGCGCTTGCTACTCCCGCCGAAGCCTTCCCTTCAGCCATCAATATGAAAACTTACGTACTTCCTGTATGAGCCAGTCAGTTTTTCGAGAAGTTAAAAAGTGTGGGCGCTCCGAGTATTGTGGGAGGTCATAAAAGTGAAGAAGGATTGGCGAGTGATCCGATGATACATTTGTTAAGGGCTCCACACAAATCTGAGCCTGTGGCACTCTTCCTGTAACAGCAATATCAATCAAGTCTGGTTGCTTCAATGGATCTGTGTGCAGCCCAGAGAAATAAAGTCAAGCTTGTTTCGTGGTGTTATTATAGCGTTCTATAGTTGTCTTCTATTCGGGTTGATTAAATTTTTGTTTGATTAGTAATTCCAGAAGGAGATTTTGATTGCGCATAATTTCCTGCATCGTTTGTTGTATTGCTACCATTGTGGATTTCAA